ATCTAAAAAAAGCTTTTGATACAATAGATCATACTATATTATTGAATAAATTAGAGAGATATGGTATCAGAGGCATAGCACATAAATGGATTGAAAGTTATTTAGAAAACAGACATCAGTATGTACAGTTCAAAAACAAAATTTCCAACTAACTGGAGATTACCCATGGAGTGCCTCAGGGATCAGTGCTTGGACCAAAACTATTCATTTTATATATAAATGATATCTGTAGTGTTTCAAAACAATTCAAATGTGTCCTATTCGCCGATGACACAACCTTTTACTGCTCTGGAAACAATATGGAACAACTCCTGAAAACTGTGGAAAATGAATTAACCAATTAAAAAACTGGTTTGACAGAAATAAACTATCCTTAAATTTAACAAAAACTAAGTTAGTTGTTTTTTGCACGAGACCAATCAAAGACCAAGTTAAAGATAAATTCAATTGAAATAGAACGAGTTTATGAAAATAAGTTTCTTGGACTAGTAACAGATACTAAACTATCCTGGAAGCCACACATAGATAACGTTAGTTAAAAGAAAAATATCCAAAACTATCGGGATACTCCACAAAACTAAGGATGTGTTGAATAAGAGTTCCTTGTACACATTATATTATTCATTATTACTCCGATATATGACCTACTGTGTGGAAATATGGGGGAACGCCTGTAAAACAAACACACTCCCTGTCTTAAAACTACAAAAAAAAGCAATCAGAATAATCAATAGGTCTAAATATATAGAACCCACAAATCCACTATTCATCAAATTAAACACAATGAAATTCTACGACCTGGTTGACTTCAAAATCGCCCAATTAATGTATAAAGCACATAATAATCTCCTTTGCCAAAATATCCAGAAGCTTTTTGAAATTAGCGAGACCAGTTATAATCTAAGGGGTTCTAATCAATACAAAAAATCCAGAACAAGAACAAGCATTAAGCAAAGGTGTGTATCAGTAAAAGGTGTCAACCTGTGGAATAAGGTTGAAACGGACCTGAAAATGAGTAAATCGCTGGACGAGTTCAAAAATACATTCAAAAGATTAGTACAAAAAAACTACATGAATCAGAATTAAGAAGATAAATTTGATATACTTAGAAAATATAGTATTACAAATCTTTGTTCTTGTTTTGATTTATGATCAACTTATCAATTGTACTTAAGAAATCCAGTAATTATAATGAATATGAGAAAATTGAAACAAAAAGGAGAAAGAATAATTATACATATACAAACCGAAAGGTGTATAAATAGAAAAGGATAGTATACACAATGGTAAAAGTATTAGATGATATGTAGACTTTTCTTCTTCTTCTTTGTTTTGAAGAACGAACAATTCATATTGCTACACAATAAGGGGTATGACAAGATAAGTTGTTTACTTCGTCCTACTGCTTTGA